AAGAAAGCCAAAGGCTAACCGGTGCATGGAAAATTAAGACGAAAACACCCATAGTTTAAGAAGGTTCCAAGGAGAATGGGGAAAGCAGGTGGCAAACAATGTACTTATAGAATATAAGTCATTAAATAAGGATAATATGGGTCAGGAATTCTATTATTTTGATTTGCCAATCAGGAGATTATCTCTGGTTATGCTTGGGAATATTAAACTATTGTACCTGAGACAGTATTTTCACAGTATTTTCATGTGAATTAAATGCTCAATTATGCATCCTTAAGTATTTCTCAATAAGTGTTTTTCACATTTACCAAAAACACAATGGATGATTTCCTGTTGCTCCGAATCATAATTAATTCCACTTAGTTTTGGTTCCCACTACTGGTTTCCACCAAAAAAGTCCAAACTGAAACGAAAAACCGCGCAAATTTCCCTCAGAGCCGCCGGCAAAAAGCAGAAGTTAATTGTTCAAATATTTTCAGAGCACACATGCAACGCCCTTTGACCTCCTCACCCACATACCCTCCACTGCTATCCCCACAGCCCCTGAAACAATGCAAAGAGGACAGAAATCTGAGCCAAATATTCCGCCCCTGGACTACCACCTCCACGGAATGATTCACGAGGCAGTTAAACATGGGAGCGCTTTCGTTGTTAATTTTTATGGCTATGCATGGGTGGCGGGAGAAGGGTTCACTAGGGTAACTGCTCCTTTATTGCAGGTTTACACCAGAGGCAGAAAAACAAATTTTGGTGGGGCTTGCCAGCACATTTTCCATCACATTTTCATCGCTTTTAATTCCAGGTTCAATAAAAATCATCAGCAATTCATTTTCAGTTTCATGGCCATCCCATTTGGCGCTGGGTTTTATTTCTCTTTAAGAGTCTCGCTGGAGAACAGCGAAATTCTCCGTTCTCGTCATAAAATTAAATTTCTCCGCAATTAATTCAGAATTTCTCCTCCTTTCCCACGAACTTTGGTGGAATTTTTATCGCTGACCCGGAATGACCTTCGCATCGATTTCCACGCCTCCTTTCCAGCCATCTCGCTATTATTTTATTTTCTTTTAATTTATTTATCCTTTTGGGAGAGTCTCTCCTCGAAGTTGATTTTATGCTCCAGCTCACTCTGTCTCTGTCTACCATCCCCTCCCCGTCTCTTTCTTTTAAAGCTTTTGTCTCCCTCTAGCTCTTGCTCCTGTCGCCTCTTAATTGTGTTTAAATTAATGTCGAACTGTGTCGAAGGGAGAGCGATTTTTGTTTATCTATGGAAAATTCTTCTAAAGCTGGAATTAATTTCAGGAAAATTTATTGCCCGGAAATTGAGAAAAGTTTGCTGGAAAAAGCTCCAGGGATTGTGGTAATTGGAAAAGCATCGATTCGGATTAGAAAGCGTAGTTTTACATCCGAAGGATCAATATATCCATTCAGAGCCTTCAGCGCGAATTCAGCAATCGTTGAATTATCCATACGTGGTCCCCATAAATATTTATAATCCTTATAATGCCCCCTCTGAACTTTGCCCCGCGGATCGGGAATCGTAAACTTTCCGAAAACAACAACCGGAGGGAGGAACTCTCCTGCACGGATATTTTCTATTTTGTCGCTGCGTTTTCATGGCTGATTTTTATCACGGGCTCATTGAAAATTTACGAGTTTTCACAGCGAATAAATTGTGCGCCGTTCGCCAATTTTATTATCTGCAAAATACTCAGCGGATCTGGGGGATACACGAGTATCTAATGGATACACAGACCTCAATTGAGACACTTTGCGTAGACCATCATTCGTCTGGGAAACTCCTCGGAGGGATGGGCGAGCTAACAAATAATGATGAAAGGAGGAAAATGCACTCACAGGGGCAGAGGGAAGGCTGCTATGAGTAACTTGTTATGAAAAAAGGAAAATCAAGGTGGGGGAGGGAAGGTAAAGAAAAACTTTGGCCAACTTTTAGCTTCTTTCAACTCTCAGCTGCATGTGTTGCATACTTTGTGGCGCTTGCAGGAAGCATGAAAAATGGCGATGGAGGAAATGAAAATATTGCGAAATTTCAGCCCCAAGTAAACAGAAAAACTAATTTTTAATGTCCCTCGGAGGACACGGAAAAATGGGATACGGCTGCAGGAAAGTTTCCTGCTCCGATTGCGATGCAAAATGTTGTCACTTTGTATCCTGACAGCCAGGATCATCAATCGCCCTAAACGCCGCACTCGCTCATTTCTCTCTCTGCCAGGATCACTCTCGAAGGGAACTCTAGAAATGGGAGAAAGTCAGCAGGACTATAACTACTTTTTGCTCTGCCAATAAATTTTCAATTTCCGTCTTGAAATTTGCAATTTATTTCCCTGCAGAAAGCTAATTTCCCCCTGCTGGCCATCTTGCAGGCTGGCTCCCTTGTGAGCCACTTTCCGAGAGTTTTCCTAGCACTTTCCGCACAACCTTACAAGAGTTTATCGAAGGACATAAATATGGCAGAAAATTGCATTGTCTGCACCAGGATTGGCCTCTTCACGTCCTGCAGAAAAAGGTAAACAAGTGCGCGGATTCCCCACAGTCCTTTGAGAAGCGGCAGCTCCCAATGCTCCTCTCCTCCCGAATCATAAATCACGGCATTTCTGTCAGCAGTTTGATTTGATTTGCAGAATCTGCGAAAACATTTCGTAAATATTTATCCTCCGTTTTTTCCGCAGCTTTTCAACACTTTTTCCGACAGGGCTGCCACCCCATTCCCCATCTATCGCCTTTCTTATCCCAGAATCAACATTTGGAACTGAAAAATATTTCCACTCTTCGGTTTGTTTTCACTTTTTGCTACTTTGTAGTGCAAATATTTTCGCACTTTTCCGCCGTTTTTGCTCTTCATTTGCCAGGGTGGGCGTTTTCAAAGAGGGGGCGTGGCCGTGACTGTTTGTACTCCTTTGATGTGCTAAACTGGTGCACCGATTGCATCCAAAATGAGATTTGATCTGCTTGAGATTATGAGAAGGATACACAAGAGTCCTGGGAGTGGAGGTCCTTGCTTTGCATGCTTAACTCTTAACAAGAAGCAGTCCTTTGGGAGCCTTTCCACTTGTTTTCCACGACTTGCGAGCAGATTTTCCCCACAGGCGTCGCTTTTCCCCTCAAAGTGAAACATTAAACATTGCCCCATCAGAGCCAAAGAATAAAAACAGCAACAGCGGCGCATAACTGGAAGGATAATGGCCCAACAAGACTCGACAGCAATAAGGGATAACATTTCAATAACCCGAAGGAAAAGGGTAATATTGCGACATTTCCTCGCCCTCTTATTTGTTTCTGAAGCATTAAAAATAATTTTCTTATGGACGAATCCCTTTCGAGGACATGATGGGCTTTCATTCTCTTCTCCAACATTTAACCAAATCAAAGATTCGGGATGGAAAGTGTAAGAAAGTGGCTGAAATCGTGTTAAGCTGGTGCCCGACCGATTCCCTTCTTCCGACCACTTCGAATCTAATTTGTCTAATTAACTCATTTCGGGTTCACCCCTTCTCTGCCTCTGGTATTTATCTTTCACATCCTTTTCTTATTTTCCTGGAGAATCCCTTGAAATCCTGTCATCCTCCGGAGCCTCTAATTATACGAGTTGGCTAAAAATGCGAGTTGCGTGGCCTAATTGCAAGGGACTGCCTCCAAGGCGGCTTACGTGGCGTATACGCAACGTGGGTCGCTCTCCTTCTTTCTTGGCTCGGTTTTTGTCCTCAAGGACTATACTGTCGCGTCCTTTTTAAAGTAAAATCACGCACGTTTCCAGGAGATACAAAAAGTGTGAATGGAAATGAGGGAACTTTTAGACATACCCCCGGCTGCTGAAAATTGAGCCTTTGAAGACTCAATGCTGCGTTTAATCTGCGTTTGCGTGGGGAAAGGGGGGTAAGAATACCAGGACTTAATGCCACAAATATGTCCTTGTATCTTTACCTATGCTGAAACGTTCTGAGGTTTCCCAAATCTCCTCTTGCCTGCTAACGACTTCAAACCGCAGTGAAGACCATATCTTATTTAATCAAGTTGTAATGGGGACTGATTAAAGCCACTGTCTCCCACACATAAGCAAAATAAAAGGGCTTCAAGGGCTCTGTCTCCCTCCATCACTTAGCTATGCAAATTGGATGAGCCGCAGGAGGTCCTCTCACCTGAAAGGATCCTCCCCTCGATGCACTCGGCATCATGTTTACTCTCAGTCCGTTTGTTGTGACCAGCAATTAAAAATTCAAACTACAATTGTGTCGACTGCTTTTCCTTCTAATTCCAATTGCGGATTGTGGACAAAGTGTCCCCAAAGCACAGACAAAGGACACCCCGAGGATGCGGCTCAGCTGGTCTCGATTGTTATGAGCCTGTGGTTTGATAATGGAATGAATTTGCTCGAATATACAAGCCAGGGGGAGCAGAAACTGCTTTCGAATTTAATTGAAACCCGTTCGGACAACACGGAATTAATTCGTTCTCAGCTTGAGTAAACGAAAGGACAAGGGACTACCCACGGTAAGCAGCTCAAAAGAAGTCAACAATGACAACCTGGCTTGAAACTTTAAAAGGTGCAAAAAGGAGCCAACATGGAAAAAACTGTTAAGAAGAAAGTTGCAGTCGAGAAGGGTATTTGCAGGTGACACCTGCTAAAAGTTCGCAGCAATCATAACTGCCAAACGGGGAAAAGTGTTAACTTGGCAACAGTGTCAGAAACTGCAGGCGCACCGGGAGGACCAGTTGAAACCCTTCAAAAGTTTGTTTCGGCCATTAGCAGGTAAAAAAATGAAAAGTTTCACAGGAGCATGATAAGGTAATTGTTTACAAAACATTAGTAGTGACAGAATCATGCTTCCATCAGAATATTTTTACTCGCAGCTCAGTTCCCAGTGCTCCCTCAACAGGTAATTTCATATAATTACTTTGGTTATCCGAGTTAACATCATTGTGTTATTAGGCGGAACTCACTATGGACATTTATTCCGATGAACCATTTCATTTGAACTTCGGCGATGGTACCAGTGAGTCGAAGGACTCGCATTCGCAGAAGTTTGGCTCACTTCACGCTGAGAGCCACCCTCTACGGGTCCTGGGTCCTTGGTCTATTTCCGTTCACCTTCGACTCTGAAAAGAAACAACTGCAACGCTCCAGATGGCTGCTGGCTTATGGTGTGATTCTGAACACAATTCTGTTGATTTTGTCCGTTCTGCCGGCCACGGATGACCATAACTGGATCAAAGAAGAGGTTTTCAAGAGGAATCCTCTGGTCAAACAGGTTGAATTTTTGGTGGAGATCATCAGTTTGGCGTCAACAGTGGTCATACACCTGCGGACATTTTGGCGGAGCAAGGATTTAGTCGAAATCCTCAACGAACTACTTCGACTGGAGAGATGCCACTTCAGGCGGCTAACCCTCGAAGATTGTGTTGCATTTGATAGGAATGTGTTAAACAAAGGACTCATAATCATCCTGGAGTTAGGGTCTTCCTTGGCCATCTACTTTGGAATACCGGAAAGCAAAGTCGTAGTGAGAGAAGCTTTTTGCATTTACTTGGTCCAGCTGGAGGTCCTTCTGGTGGTGATGCACTTTCACGTGGCGGTCATTTACATTTATCGATTCGTGTGGATAATAAACCGGCAACTACTGAGTCTGGCCAACCAACTTCGTGGCTCTAAGAGAGTCGATCCCGATGAAGTCCTTCTGCTCCTCCAACTCTACAGTCGCCTTGTGGAGCTTAACGATCGCATTGCCTCGATCTACGATGTTCAAATGATCCTCTTTATGACCACAATGGTCTCGGCCAATATCACCATAGCCTACGTGATGGTTATCATGTTTATAAATGCCAGGAGGTTTTCTCTTTTGGTGCTAATAATCTTTTTTCCTCAAGCCTTGATAATCAACTGTTGGGATCTTTGGCAGGGAATCACCACCTGCGATTTGGCCGAAAGCACTGGAAGAAAAACGTCGACTATCCTGAAGTTGTTCAATGATATTAGAGGTATGGACAAGGAATTGGAGCAAAGAGTGAGTACAGATATCTTTATGTTTTTCTATACTTTTTAATAAATATATTTATTGATCAGATTTCTGAGTTCACCTTGTTCTGCAGTCATCGAAGGCTGAGATATCGTCACTGTGGACTGTTTTCCATTAACTACAAAATTGGTTTCCAAATTGTTGTTACCAATATTTTGTATGTGCTTTTCTTGGTTCAGTTTGATTACATGAATCTAAAATATAAATAAATAAGACAGGATTATCATGAAATCATAGAAATAAAATACAAGACAATTCAACGGCTTTAAGTTTTTTATTAAATTAGTGGGCTGACAGTTCTGATGTTAAGAATCCCAAAGGAAATACTTCTAATTCCTTAATTATTTTAAAAATTTATCTGGCTTTTCATCTTAATAGACCTTTAAAAGCTCATATAATAGCTTGAGTCTAGCCAGTTCTATTCACTTCACAATCGTTCTTGTGTCAAACCATTACAATGTCCAAAAGGGGTTTGGTGAAATATTCACTAAAAGGAACACTTTATATATCCTGGACGCTCGGAATGTTTCCTTTCAAAATCGACTACCGAAACAGAAAGCTAAATAGTTCAAAGTGGATCCTGATATATGGTTTGCTTCTAAACGTATTTCTGCTGTGGACATGGATTGTTTCAGAAAAGAGTCACATAGAGCAAGTACAGATATTCGCGAAGAATCCATTGGTTGAAAAGATTCAAATTCTGTTGAATATATCGATTATAGCGTGGTCTGCTCTTGGTTACTGGAGAGTTTGCTCCAAGTTATCCAAATATATTGTTTTTTGTGGAACATAAACAAACAGCTTACGGGAATCCTCAAAGACTTGAAAATGGGAGGAACTGTGGACGTCTTAAGAGTAAAACTACTTCTTCGATCCTTCGGGGAGGTGTTAAACTTGAACTCGAGGCTGACCTCCATTTACGATCAGCAAGTTATTTCTTTTATGGTCACCCTGATGTGCAATAACATGTATATGGCCTACGTGCTGATTTTCTTAGTCGCCAATGCAAAAAAATCAATCATATTCGTTGTTTCAATCCTTTCGCAATACCTGATTGTGACTACCTGTAACCTTTGGCTAACCTTTGTCTCATGTGATCTAGCAGAGTGCGAAGGAACAGAAACCACAAGGATTTTAAAGCTGTTTACGGATGTATTTAATATGGACCAGGAACTGGAAAGAACTGTAAGTCCCAATCTTGTGCCTTTCAACCAATAATACTTAGTGATGTTTTTCAATTCAGATAAATGAATTCGCCATATTCTGCAAACAACACAAATTGAAATATTTTGCAAGTGGTTTGTTCACCGTAAACGTTAAGATGGGTTATCGAATGATTATCACTAATGTGATGTATGTGCTTTGCATTATTCAGTTTGAATACAAAAATTTACAATTTTAAGAAATAATTATCTCACGCAGTGGTTAATAAAAATCTAGATATCGATGACAGTGTTACTTTAAACTTTAGCATTTCTTTGTCAATCATGTCATTTATCAATTTAATTAATTAAAAGGCTTTCAAGGTGCCTCAGGAAAAATAAATTAGTAACTATCGATTTAGACTGCGCAACCTTTCCACAAACCAAGTGAGTTTCAGTTTTCTCCGAGGACTTGCCTCGAATTGAAGTATAATCGTAAAATGTATCGTAACTGCATAAAAAAATTTGGCCAACTGGACGTTGAAAGGCGTAGTTTATGGATCGTGGGTTCTTGGAGTTTTTCCTTTTACCTTCAACCTGGGAAAAACCCAAATTATTTATTTGAAATCTCTTCAAATTTATGGACTTCTACTGAACTTTGGATTACTAGCGTTGGTTCTGTACACGTATGAGGATGAAAACTCAGGAATGGAAATATTTGACAGAAATGAAATCATCCAGAAAGTAGAATTCTCCTTGGACTTTCTAGGCGTGGTAACTTTTGTAGTCATTCACTTGTTGACCTTGTGGAAAAGCCGGAGACTCCTGAAGATTCTCAATGAACTTTGGTCCATCCAAAAACGACACTTTGTGGAAAGTCATCGGTCATTTGATCGGTATATAGTCTGCAAGGGTTTCGGTGTTGTCCTCAAAATCTTGTCTATTCTTTCATTGAATTTTGGTTTTCCGCAAGAAGGCAGTAAAATCTGGAGTAATCTGAATATATGCTATTATGTAATAATTTTGACGGGAGCTTTGCTTACAATGGCTCATTTCCACATAATTCTGCTCTATATTCACCAATTTATAAGGAGTATCAACCATCAGCTTTTGGAGTTTGTTCTCCAGCTGGAAAAAGGTCAGAAGCCAGAGTCCGAGGATGTCCGGGTACTCCTTCGTATCTACTCCCGTCTTCTGAATATAAAGGATAAGCTCTCCTCCATTTACGAGGTAGAACTGACCCTTGAAATGGCTACTTTGTTTTTTTACAACATTGGAGTGGCTTACTCTCTCATTATATTTTCCATAAACGCAGAGAGATATAACTTCCTTGGATCTTGCGTGATTATTCCTCAATATTTGACAGTAAACCTTTGGGAACTGTGGCTGGGCATTATGATTTGCGATCTTTTTGAATTTGAATGCAGAAAAACTTCGATGGTTCTGAGACGTTTCATGGATTTTACTGATATGGACAACGATATGAAGAAAAGTGTAATTATTTTTAACATATTTAATTTCATAATTACTATATACACATCTATTTTTGTACAGGTCGAAAAATTTGCGTTGTTTTGCATGCATCGCCCAATGACAATTCGACTTTGTGGACTATTCGATGTAAACTATAAAATGGGTTACCGGCTTGTCAACACGAACTTTCTTTATATATTGTTTTTGGTCCAGTTCGATTATATGAATATAAAATTGAAGTAGAACATTGTTTAGCCATTTATATATTTTAAATTAGAAGAGGAATAACTTTTTCATGTCTCGTATTCTGATTCTATTGGCCAATAAAACAAAAATCAATCATACTCTACAATCCTGTTGAATTCTCTGACAGTGACTATCTCTGATATATTCTAATTATGCGAGGTCATACAAATGGTCTATCGTCTAATTAATCGTATCTTATAATCGCTAAAGGGTTTAATTCCCAATACTAAGCTACTTCTCGATATAGACTGCGCAACCTTTACACAATCCATGTCAGTTTTAGTTTTCACTCAGAGCTTGCCTCGAATTGAAGTACAAACTACAAATGTATCGCCGCTGTATAGAAAATTTGGACAACCGGACATTGAAATGTGTACTTTATGGATCGTGGATTCTAGGAGTTCTTCCCTTTACCTTAAACTCTGGAAAAACAAAAATTATTTATTTCAAATCTTTTCAAATCTATGGTCTTATACTGAACTTTGGAGTACTGGCGTTGCTTCTTTCCACATACACGGATGAGCTCACAGGAGTGGAAATATATGACAAAAATCAACTGGTTCGGAACGTAACATTATCCTTGGATTTCTTAGGTGTGGTGACATTTATAGTGATTCACTTGTTGACCATATGGAAAAGACGGCAACTTCAGGAGATTCTCAATGAACTCTGGTCCATCCAAAAACGACACTTTGTGGAAAGTCCCCGAGAACACTGCTATAATTTTACTCGATATGTACTCTTCAAAGGTCTAAGTATAGTTCTGGAAATCATTTCTATTATTGTACTGAATTTTGGATTTCCCCAAGAAGGCAGTCGTATCTATAGTAGTCTCAATATATGTTTTTATGTAATTATTTTGACCGGAGCCTTACTTACAATGGCGCACTTTCACATAATTCTGCTCTTTATTTACCAATTTATTTGGAATATAAACCAACAACTATTGGATTTTAGCTTTGAGCTTGAAAGAGGAGGTAAGCCGACTCCGAGGAAGTTCGGGATCTCCTAAGAATCTACAGCCGTCTCCTGTACATAAGCAACAAGCTCTGTTCTATATACGAGGTCGAACTGACTCTTGAGATCGCCACGTTGTTTTTTTACAACATTGGTGTGGCTTACTCACTTATTATATTTTCCATAAATGCGGAAAGATACAACATTTGGTGGTTATTTGTGGTTATTCCTCAATATCTGTTCGTAAACCTTTGGGACCTGTGGTTGGGCATTATGATTTGCGATCTTTTTGAATACGAATGCAGAAAAACTTCGATGATCCTCAAACGTTTTGCGGACTTTCCTGATATGGACAAGGATGTGGAGAGAACTGTAATATAATATACCTACAATATAATATATATGCGTCTATTTTATCTGTATATTTTTGTACAGGTTCAAGAATTTGCGTCATTTTGCTGCCATCGCCCAAATACAATTCGACTTTGTGGACTTTTCGATGTAAACTATAAAATGGGTTACCGCCTTGTCAACACAAACTTTTTATACATATTGTTTTTGGCCCAGTTTGATTATATGAATATAAAATTGAAGTAGAAAATTTGTAGGAAAATTCTTCTTATATCACCATATACTTAAATTATTTGAATTTAATGAGCAAGGCCACAGGTCAAAAATCAACAAATTTTCATCTTTTTAATAAACCTAAAAGGGTTGGTATAGATTGTTAACTATGGCAGGATTCCTTTGGGGCTTTTATTTGTTTTTGTTCCCTCACCTTGTGTTTTTTCTTGGCCCGGTTTTCATTTAGTTCCCGGGCAATGTTCGGTTTATCCTCTGACTGTCATTTCTACGTAGAAGTCCGATATGTTTCGACCGCGTCGCGGCTTCTCTCCTCAACTTGCTTGGCTTGTTCTTAAGGCGGCTCTATATGGGTCTTGGATCCTGGGACTGTTTCCCTTCATTAATAATGGCCAAAGAAAGCAGATAAGAAGATCGCGCCGACTCCTCTTTTACGGATTAATCTTTAATACTGTCAGTGTGGTTATACTTGTACACATAGCCAGGGACTACCAAAATAGTTCGAAATTGGAGGCTTTTCAGCGAAATGCAGTTCTGCAGTTGATAAACTTGACAGTAGCTCTGCTGAGCTTGGTCGCAGCCATAGTGATTCATTTAATGCATTTCTGTGGAAGCAAGAGAGTCCAGAATTTGATAAATGCAATGTGGAGCCTGCAGCAAGAGTACTTCTCAGGCTATAATGTGCTTCGAAGTTGTCCCCATTTTAGCTACTTGGTGGTCCAAAAAGGTTTTACTATTCTGGCCGAGACAGGGAATCTCCTGATGGTTCACTTTTCAATGCCCGGAAATGAAAGCACCTCTTACCTGTT